AAGAGAGACAGGACATATGAGCATTGCATAACCACGTGTTTCAAATCATGCGTCTTTCCTCTCCTTTTGTACCCTACCTTAAGTGTGTTAATTTTTCCCGCCTTGCTTCTCATGGTATGTTAGCCTTTCTGTGACTTCTGGGATAGCTTGTCTGGTAGTATATTTGCGGACTATCATTATACTAAGGTGATTTTCCACGTAACACCAAGCAGGTAATATTTGGATATTACTGGGACTGTGTGTTATAAAGAACTTTAAAACAGTGAAACTCTTTTGTCCAATATCCTATAATTTTTAACTCTGCACTCAAAAAAATACCAGTGTAGAATTTCCTGGCAACAAGGGGGAGAATCCTTAATTTTGGCAGGTCCTAAGATATGTCCTTAGAAGAATTTTTAATCTTTAGGTTCTCCATATAAACCCTATTAACAATTTTTAGAATAGTCACTGTAATAGTTTTTTTTTTTAATTACAAGAAGCCAAATTTCTTGATCCTACAAAGGTCACTTGAGTGGCCCTCTGATTACTGTGTATGTTGGGTGACTAGACCTCATTGTTCCAGAATTAGATAACAAGAATTTTGGAGTGTTTTGCCTATTTAAGTGGCATAGCCTGAGATTCAGACTTATGGAAATATGTGTGAACTCCTAGCTATAATTTTACACAAGACCTAGTGACAGGGAAGAGCAAAGGGGGTTGTGATATAGTTACACTGAAAGAAAAATGATTTGTGGGTTAGTGCCAGCACGGAATCAGGAAGTGGATATAGTGATTTGAGTCTATGACGTTGTCAGCTGGTAGAAATGGATAAATGAGCCAAAAAAAGCTAGTGCTTTAGCGTATTAAGGCATAAAACCCTTCCAGGTGAAGGTAATACAAAGGGGATTTCCTTTTCTCAAAACAACAACAACAAAACATAAAAAACAAAAAACAAAAAAACCCAAACCAAATACTGTATCAGGGAAGAAAGAAGCACTCTTTCATCACCTTTGGTAGGTGGCTTTGCATTGGAGAACAGTGACTCCTATCTTCCTTTATTCTTTTTGAACTGGAATGCCAGCAACTGTTATACCTCTCCCACCATTCTATTTTGGGAGTGTTGGAACCAGATAACTTGGCTCTTTAGTTTCACAGGTCCACCGATGAAGAATTAATAGATTACAACCAGGAGCCTCATCTTCATCTGATTTGGAAGAGATTTTGGAGTTTGAGCTGATGATACTTAGATTAAGATGAGGTTTTGTACTTCAAGCTGATGCTGTATTGGGATGAGACCGATTGGAACCTTGGAAAAGGGTGAATGTATTTTACCTGTAAATCATCAGGGGCTAGAGTGTGGACTGTGGTAGGCAGAATTCTGAGATGGCCTCAAGCTTCCCATGCCCTGATGTATGCACCTGGTACAATTGCCTCTCCACAGTGTGGGCCCGACTGTGAATATAGGGATTTCACTTCCATTATAGGGTTAATCAATTGACTTCAAATTAATAAAAAATTAGATTATGATGGGTGGGATTGACCTAATTAGGTGACCCCTAAAAAGAGGTCAGAGATTCAAAAGAAATTCTCCCGCTGGCTTTGAAGACGGGTAAGCTGCTATGTGGTGAGAAGGCCATGAAGTTAGTTGAGGATGGTCTGTAGGAGCTAAGAGCAACCCTGGTCAATAGAGCTAGTAAGAAAGTAGGGACCTCAGTCCTGCAACCACAAATATATTGTCCCAGGACCCTAATTAAAACCCTTTTCTGTTACATGCAGCTATCAAAAAGGAGTTGAATCTAGAATGTTATTAATGCTTATTGAGTGCTCTGTGCCTTAAGGATCCAAGATATGTATGTAAGTCAGATATTCATTACTCTCTTATACTAGAGGGCCCAAGAACTGTACAGTCAAAAGCACTGGTGTGTAATGCACAGTTTAATAAAAATTTGGTAGGGAAGCAAAGTATACATTTCTTTTGAACATCCCCCTGTAAAACACTTGATGGCAAACTCTTCTCCAACACTTTACTCCAAAACTTCTCTGGGGCAACCTGGCTTTTTCTTCCCTTTCCCCTCTCAAAAGGAGAACAAAGTCCTCTTACCTCATGCCAAGCAGCTTCATGTCCTTCCCTGAATTCTAGGAACCAGCTGATACACATCTAGGGTCTTCTACCCTAAACAGTTATCAAAATGTTTGGCCAAGTCAAGGCAGGTATCTCTCAACAGGGCTTCTGGTGAATAAAGTTTCCTCCGTCTTTTTATATGTATAATATCTTTGTATGTGCCTAGAAAGTTCCTGGAAAGTTACCCAAGACATACTTAATAGTATTTTTTTTTTTGTGGACAGCGACACTAAGGTTGGCCAGGTTGTGCAGGACATCAACTTTCAATTTGTATTTTCTGTAGTGTTTCAAAATGTTTGAAGTCATTGTATTAGCTTCCTAAGGCTGCTGTAACAAAGTAACACAAACTGAGGAGCTTAAAACAATTTATTTTCTCCGTGCTGGAGTCTAGAAGTCTGAAAATTAAGGTGTCAGTAAGGTTGCACTCTCTTCAAGGGCTCCAGGGAAGAATGCTCCCTCGTTTCTTCCAGCTTCTAGTAGCCCCAATTGTTCTTTAGCTTTTGACAGCTTAACTCCATTCTCTGCCTCCATCTTCACATAGCCATCTTTCTGTCTTTGTGTCTCTTAACTTCTTATAAGGCCACTAATTATATTCAATTAGTCCATCCTAATGACCTTAGCTTGAGCACATCTGTAAAGAACATATTTCCAAATGAAGTCGTACTTGTGGGGTGGAGAAGGATCTTTTGAGGAGACATAGTCAGCCTATAATAGCCCTGGCTAACTTTTTTTTTTTTTAAGATTTTATTTATTTGACAGAGACAGAGACAGCGAGAGAGGGAACACGAGCAGAGGGAGTGGGAGAGGGAGAAGCAGGCTTCCTGCCGAGCAGAGGGCCCGATGCGGGGTTAGATCCCAGGACCCTGAGATCATGACCTGAGCCGAAGGCAGTCGCCTAACCAACTGAGCCACCCAGGCACCCCTGGCTAACTCTTAATTAAAAAAAAACAAAACTATTTAATGTGCAACATTCTATTAAGACAATGTCCTTGGTCTCTTTAAAACATTAGTATCATGAAAAATTGGGGGAGGAGCTCTTGAGGATTAAAAGAGATTTAAGAAACATACACAAAATGCAAGGCTTGAAACCTGATTGGATCCTGGTCTGAAAAAAAAAGCTGTAAAGATTTAACTGGCAAAATTTAAATATGGGCTGGTTATTAGATATCAGAGAATTATAGTTAATTTTCGTAGTTGTGATAATGGTATTGTTCTCGTGCTGGGGAAGTTGTTATTCTTAGGAGATGCATGTTGAATTATCTAAGGGTAAAGTATAATGTCTGCATCCTACTTTCCTCATGCTTCAGGGAAAAAAAAATCCCAATATTGATGAAGCAAATATAGCAGAATTTTTGAATGTAGGTGACTGATCCTGTCATGCCCATGATATCAATACCATATTCAGCTATTTTAAGTTAAATTTAGACATCACAAACATAAGTTTTTAGTATTTATCATATATCTTAAAGAAATGAAAAAACATTGCATAGGGGTATGCAACGTACTATTCTTTCAAGTTTTCTGGACGTTTGGATATTTTTTCTTTCTTTTTTAAAAAAGATTTTATTTATTGACTTGAGGGAAGGCGAGAGAGCAGAGGGAGAAGCCAACTCCCCGCTCAGAAAAGAGCCCCCACATGGGGCTCAAGGCCGGCTGGATCCCAGGACCCTGAGATCATGACCTGAGCAGAAGGCGCTTAACGACTGAACCACCCAGGTGCCCCATGGATATTTTCATAACAACCTTCGGAGAAAAACTACTTACAAACAAAACTTTCCAACCATCCCCAGTTACCAACGATAAAACATAAACTCTTTAGCATAACTGCTGACTTCTGCATCATCACCTCAATTCATTATCCCCATACTACATCTTGCACATTATATTCAAGTAAGGATAACAATACAACTAACTTTAGATTTCTTCCTCCCTTGCCTGAGGTTTCCACCAGGTACTGTTTGCTCCTTCCCCGCGCCCCCACCCGTCTCCCGCGCCTCAATTTTTTTTAAACTCCAGATCAGATGTCAACTCCTCTGTAAGGATTTCTTCCCACCCTATACTTTCAGAAAAGTGCTCCTTTTCTTGAGCAGTCATTCATTACTGCACCGGAATATAAACCCCTTGAGCACGGGGGTTGGGTTTACTGAATTTTGGCTGGCACATGTTAATTTAATAAACGTTTGCTAAAAGTAAATAAATTCAATTCGGCCGTGTAGAATCCTCAAATTACGTATTTTCCCCCAAACACTTAGTTTCCAAGCATTAGTTTTGAAACTCCGTAATAGTTAAAACTGGGTTATCAGTTTTCTCTGCATGTATGTTGGGCACATAACCCTCAACGACATATAAGGCGCGGTGAGCCCCGCTGCATTCCCTGCTGGCGACTTAGAAACACAGACATCATTGGTGCTGAAGGCCATTTCTCTCGATCTGTTTTTGGAAGTAGCGCTCGTGGACCGCTGCTTTTGCCTTTCGCTTTCGGGGCCGAAGCTTGCCAGGATTTCACGCGCTGCTCCGGGTCTTCTCCGGCCGGCGTGGAATCGGAGTTCCCGGGGACGCTGAGAACTGCGTGCGCCTGCGGCCTTCCGAGAATGTTTCTCCCAAGGCGGCCGCCTCCTGTCCTTTCGCGAGGTCACCAGAGAGGCAAACAGCGGAGCGTGAGTGACGTGACCTATTCGCCAGCGAATGGTTTCACAGCCAGCGCAGCCCTTCAGGGCTGGCCAGCTCGCCTGGCTCCTCCTCCTGCTGCCCCAGCCCCGGCCCACCCACCGTTTCCACATTGCCCAATAGGCGCGCACGCGGCTCCAACCGCGGCCGGTGGAGGAGGTATTCGGCGGCCAGACGCTGAGCGGCCGTTCACGTCAACGCGGTGACGTCACGCGTAGACGCACCTGTCGGGCTCCCTTCTCCTGCTGTTTCTCTTCCCCTTCCGTGGCTCGGGGCCGGTCTGGTCCGGAACCCACAGCCCCTTTTTCACAGTCCCTGTTCGCCCGCGGCCAGGATTTGGGCTGCGTAATGAGGAGGGAGTGTGTGGTGGGTTGAAAGGCATTCTACTTCATTTCCGAGTTGGAGCATGGATTCAGTGTTAGTCTTTTAAGAGGGAAGTGAGGTTGGAGATTTTTATTTTTTAATTTTGGGTGGAAGCAGTTGACTTTAGGGCCCTCCAAAGGAAGCGGATTTAACTTAATGCTGCTCCCGTGTTTGAAGGAGGACAAAAAAGGTCCCACCTGGCAAAATTTCCGTAACCTCTTCAGTAGAAAACCCAAGGTATCTTTTAAATTGCAGTAGTTTTTGTTGTGTCAAGCTTTCTTCAGGTGGAGCTCCCACGGTAGCTAGGTTTTTAGGTTTGAAACAGATGCAGAATCCAAAGGCAGCGCAAAAAACAGCCACCGATTTTGCTATGCCTCTGAGCTGCAAGGTGAGTTGCATTGTATGAGTGAAGATTCGTTAGTTGTCATGTTCACGGATTTTGGGTCAACTGTAATGCCAGGGCTCTCGTCTTGGTTTGTCTTATACCTACATGATGTCAAACCTACACTGATTAGGTATATACCCTCGGACATTCTTTAAGATTTCGCCTATTTCCTTTAGGAACCGTCGAAGGACCTATGAATAGAGTGGAAGTAGGTCCCAGGAGAAGATTAATATGGAGCTCAGAGTGGGTTTTACTTTTGCTAAAATTGCCCAAATTTAAGTTAGTATTCACTTTTTCTATCTTTAGTCTAAATTTATGTGTATATCAAGACATAGTTTGTGTATATATGTAACATTTGTGTTTTGATCTTAAACTTGGATCAGAAACTACCTTAGAATCTCAAATTAATTTTGCATATAATAGGCTTTATTTGTATAGTATTTAAAACTGGAGCACAGGAAGGTAATTAGCTATTATACATACGTATAAGATTTCTGAGATTTCTTTCTCTTTTGGAGGGAAAAAAAACCCCTTGTTTATAAGAACTGAATCAACTTTTTTTTTTTTTTGGTAATTAGAAAGTTCAGTTCTGCAAACCGTAAACTTTTTTGAGCCATGCAGTTTAGTTACTGCAGCATCGTTGTGGCTTGTGTCTTTGCTTGTTGAATCTTTTCAGAAATGCTTTGCTTTTCATCTCTGGACAGTTTAATTTAATTTACAAGATTCTTTTCTTGATGAGGTCGGTATGGAAATAGTTTAACTGGTGTCAGTCAATTTTATGTGCCTTTGTGAGTCACTAGAAAATAACTATATGTGTAGCTCAAGAGTACATATAAGAATGCTAATGTATATATTGTTGATTTTCATCTTAAAAGGTGCTGCTGATTGTTGTTACATAGTGTGGCTTAAAAACTAGGTGTGTGACCTACAGATATTTTCTCAAATTGAGTATGCTTTTATGACCTCTGGTTGATAGGAACAGCCACTATTGGCAGAATCCATGCCATTGCCCTCCCACACCCTACCTCCCACACTCTTCAAAGACTGATTCTTTGCTTGAAAATGGGTCAAATGATTTTAAGAGGTCAATATAATATATAGTACTTACATCTTGGAAACTGTGTCTTAAGCATGTGTTTTCAGTCATACATAGTTCATTAAGAATGTAAAAATCCAACTTGGTAATGGGTATATACAGTTCAGGGGAACAGATTTGTTGAGGTTATGGTTTTATATTAATAAATTGGCTATTTTCCAAGTTGTGTTGGTGATAGCCTTTCCATTTCCTGTCCGGTGACATGTTGGTAATAATTTTCAGACCACTCAGGAAGCCAGATTTGATCTCTGTGGTGGGTCAGATATCAAAGCAGTATCCTGTGGCATTTGGCCACTCTCACTGCTTTGTAGAACTTTCATCTGAGTTTCTAGTCAAACTTGTCTGCAGCGATCTAAAACATATGATGTAATAAGTGTTAATATTTATTGAGCAATTTCTGTGGTTTTGGATCATTTCTAAGTGTTTTTTGTGGATTATTTCAATTTATCACACCAACCCCAGGAAATTGGTATGTTGTTTTCCTATTATACAGATGTGGAAACTGAGGCACAGAGGATTTAATTAACTTGCCCAAGGTCTCAGTAAGTGTCACAACTGGCAGTATGATTTCAGAGCTCTTGCTCTCAATGGCTGCGCTATATTTCATGTAAGACAGTCAAAATGTTTGAAGGAAAGTTAGGATGAGAGGTATGGCACCATAGGTTCATTTATTTTTCAATTATAAAAGTAATGTAAAATTACAGAAACTCTGGAAAATAAATTTTGAAACCTTCATTCTACTATAATAAACTCTTTTTTTGTGTGTTTTTTCGTACCCACATTCACACGTGTATAGAAACGTTGTGGCTGTGATTCATTTTTATTTATTTATTTTAAGATTTTATTCATTTATTTGACAGAGAGAGACACAGCGAGAGAGGGAACACATTTGATTTTTTAAAGATGAATATTCTTTACTTAAGTGTAAAATGTAGGATCAACCCATGCAGGGAAACTGCCCATTTGCATTGCTGAAATACAGAGAGATTTGATCTGCATCTTTGACTGGAACCAGTTAAATAAGTATATTTTTTGCCCTCTTGAGAAGTATTCGAACAGTTTGTCTTGTACAATCATAAAAATTATTTAGTTTTCAAAGTGTAAGTCTTCCACATCATCTTTTTATTGAATTATTGTTTACCTTTCTTTTTTCTTACAGTCTAAGCCTTATATTTGTGTGTATTTTTACTTTTGAAATTATCTAGTACTTAACTTCTGAATGGCGCCAAAAAATTTTATCTAGGAATCTAGGAAACTTTCTTCAGAGAAAACATCGACTTCTTTGGGAGGGTTATTCATTTAATACTTTTTTTTTGAAGAAAAACATAAGCACAACTATTTGGACATGGAGCTAACTTAATAGAGATAAAATATCAAGTAATATTGCTTTTGGGAGAAATCAGTTTCATTATTGTCATATCTTGTACATATGTGGTGACGATTTGTATCAGAATAAATACTTTCTTACTACTGTGATGTTCTCACCTAAGTTTCGTGACGTTGTATGGGGTGGAGGGGTCATTCTTAGGTAAAATAAATTTGAGAAGCTTTTCATAAATTTTGTTCACGAATTTAGTGTTTACCACATGTTTTCTCAAGAGCCTTTCCTATGCTGTTAGCCATTACAGTTCTAGAATGGGGTATGCTGTATTACCCAAACTTATTTGACTCTGAAATCTTTTACTGGACTTGTATTCTGTGCACATACTCATCTTCAAATATTTTTGTTGCCTTCTTGGCTCCGTAGCTTAATTCATGTCAGTAGTTTTGCTTCAGTTAACTTCTCTCATGTCTGCCCCATAAAATCCCACTTATCTTTTAAGGTCAAACTCAAGTGTGTCTCTTCCAAGGAAGGCTTCTCACCATCAGTCACACTGGGATGAGAGCTCTTTTTTTCCGAGCTCTTATAACTACTGGTGTCTTCTCTGACATCTCTCATGTATTGCTTTTTATTGTACGGCTATATATTACCTTCTAGGGAAGTATTACACCGTCCCTTTTGAGGACAGTATGTAATGCAGTTTTTGCTGAACTTGACCGAAAGCTGTAAGGCCTATGCAAACATGATGACATTAATCAATAAAAATTGTGTTTAGGGGCACCTGACTAGCTCTGTCAGGAGAGCATTGCTTCATTTTGATTGTTGACCAGTACTTAGCAATAGTTAGAATAGTTATATGAGATGCTTAAAGTATTAACGTGAAAATGCTCCTTATACACAAATGGTTAGATCAGTCAGCGTTTTACTTCTCTGCCGTCATTGCTTATGAAACTTTTGTCCATCTCTCTAGTTGCTAATATTTGGGATTTTCTTCCCTTTTTTCACTGAGATTGTGCCTTTTTTTCTATTTAGCTTACTAGCTAGCCAGATAGCTGACTGATAAACCTTTGAAACTTAGCCATGGTCCTTAGCCCTACCTAGTCTCCTTTGCAAGAGAGGCAAAACTTTGTTGGGAGCTATGGAAAATTGGTGTACCTACCTCGGGCTGTGTGAGTCCCTTAGCCAAAAATTTACAGGGTCTTCCTATTTCTGCTCCCACCCCCCAGTTCTGGGGGTGTTCTGCTTAGAGTATGCAGTTTGGGTGCTAGATTGATGTACTGAATGAAGGTAAGCATTTCCTTCATTGTAGTCTGGCCCAATAGAACTAAAGCCTAGATGTGTAATCCTATAGTTGGAAAGAACACTGTGATCTTAAGTCCTATAAGATGTAGGAGACTGAAATTTGTTTCTTTCAACTGTTTTGAATCAATTAGTCAAGTCAGAAACCTAGTAGATATCTTAGATTTTTTTTCTTCACTGTTCCTCACAATTTGTTAGTTACCATGTCCTCTTAAATACTTCTCAGAATTCTTTTTACTCCACATTGTGATGTCTTAGATTATTTATGCCTTCAGTATCTCATATTTAGGATTGTTCGAGGTTCTACTGGAATTAGGGTCACCTAACTCCCCTTTCAGTCTCTTGCTCTTCTGTCTTCCATACTGCTGCTACTGTTGGTTTGCTAAAATCCATACTTGGTCATATGGTTTGTCTTAAAAACTCTTAATGGTTTCTCATGTATATAAATGAGTAAATAAGTTCTTTAGCACAATGTATGAGCTCTTGCCTTTATGACCTGGCCTGTGTCCACTTCTCCAGCTACTTTCCAGTTACTTACCTCTTATTTAAGCTACCCAAGCAGGTTTTGTTATTATGCTGCTGTGTTTTTGCATGTATTTTTTTTTCTTTCTATATTGACTTTTCACCTCATAGTTAGCCCAGTTCACTCATCCTAATCCTTCAATACTCAGCTTAAACATTCCCTTTATTAAATATTCACAGACTTTTCTAAGTAGCATGCTTATTCCTTTTCAATGTTATCAAATACCTTGTATATACCTCTCCGTTGATATTTGTCATACCATACTGTAGTTATTTGTATGTCTTTTACCTTCACTGCTTTGGGAATAGGGACCATATTTTACTCATTACCTCAGTACCTGGCTTTGTGCCTGGTACATGATGGGTACTCAGTAAATGGTTGTCAAATAAATTAATAAGTGATTCCAAAAACTAATTTTGGCTATGAGGGAGATGATGATCCTGTAAGCTGAGATAGGGAGTGTAGGAGGACAAGCAAGTTTGGGGCAAATATTTATTCAGCTTCAGTTTTGTTGAATTAGAGTTTGCATATAGCATCCAAGTAGAGATGTGCCATTTGTTTGTTACGCATTTGTTATTTATTCATGGTATAAATATTAACTGCCCCAGCAAGATTTTGTAGATCTAGATAAGATTATAAAATTTATATGGAAAGGCAAAGAAACTAGAACAGCTAAAGCAATTTTAAAAAATAAGAATAAAGTGTGACAAATTAATCTATCCAATTTCCAGGCTTATTTCAGAGCTAGAGTAATTGAGACTATG